GATCTCGCATTTGTTCTTTGCTGATGAATCCTACTTGTTCCTACGCGACACTCTCCAGGAATGCGAGAATCTGATCGAGCTCTTAAATGAATACGAGGCCCTCAGTGGTCAACCGGTTAATTTGGCAAAGTCGGCAGTTGGCTTCAGCAAAAATATTGCACTGCCTGACCAGGATTTTTTGGCTACTATTTTGGGGGTTGGAGCGGTAGGGGTCCATGACAAATACCTGGGTTTACCTACGCTGATTGCCAGATCAAAAATGGCTACCTTTCGGTATTTGGAGGAGAAGTTATTGGAGCGGTTACAGTGGTGGAAGCAAAGGACTTTATCGTGGGCGGCTAAAGAAACCTTGATTAAGTCCATCGCTTTGGCGTTGCCATTGCATGTGGTGTTCTGCTTCCAATTGCCTCTCTCCCTGTGTCGTCTTTTGGACAAACATGTGGCCCGCTTCTGGTGGGAGGCTGTGGAGGACCATTCGAAGGGGTTACGATGGCAGATTGGGAATGGTCGATCTGCCTCCCTACTCCATTCTAACTGGATACCCCGGTTACAACTTGATCCCCCTAGGTATAATTCACAGGTGTAACCGGAAGGGGGTGACCCGCTGGTGGAGGAGGTTTTATGCCCGGGTGAAGGGAAATTGTGTGACCTTAAGCTCCGCCGACCTGTCAGGCCATTAAAGCTATCCCGCTTTCGCGCAGGGATGTGGAGGACAGATTGATTTGGAATGATACGGTTGATGGTGTTTTTCCGTCAAGTCCGCCTACCATCTGACTATCTCCCTGGATAAGGGGGGGCGGGGGGTAGGTGGAAGTCGTTGGCTAGTTAGATGGATAAGCTCAGCTGGGTTCACCTATGGAATGCGGATATTCCCCCTAAGTTAAAGGTCTTTGTCTAGCAAATCCTTAGCTGTTCTCTCCCTACGACAGAGGCTCTCATTGAGAAGAAGGTTGTAGTACACCCTCGTTGCCCGGTCTGCTGGGAGGGCATAGAGACTTTGGAGCATCTCTTTCTCGATTACCTAGTGGCCCGTGCCCTCTGGGACTATTCGGGTCTGAACTATCTGGGGGAGGGACTGCCTCGGCATACCTTCCCTCTGTTTCTGAAGAGACTGCTGGCTTTGGTTCATAACCCACCGTTGTTCATGGCTGTGGTGGCGGTTCTGTGGCGGATTCGGCGATTTCGGAATTGGGTTGTCTTTGAGGGCAAGCAGTTCGGGATCCCAGCTGATGCGTCAATTCCACTAGCAATATGAGGAGTGGATTAGTCTCTCCACGGGCCCGGTAACGCCGTCGGTTCCACCAGCTCTAGCTCATATAAGTCCTATTGGGGATAGCAGGGTGGTTTGTATGTGGGATGGGGCGACGAGAAGTGGGTCTCACTCGGCTTGTGGGATGGTTCTTCTGAACCCTGGCAGGGAGCACCTCTTTGCGAAGGGAGTTAAGTTCCAGTCGATTGATTACTCCATGGTTGTGGAATTGCTTGTACTCAGGGAGGCGATTGTATGGTGTCTTGAGCTTGGCTTTTCGGACGTTAGATTCGAGGGGGATGCCAAGGTGCTCATTGATAAGGTCAACATGGCAGATACTAGTGATAACTGGGTGGGGGCTGTGCTTGAAGAGATAGTAGCTTATTTTCAGGCCCATTCTGGTTTTACTATTCGATTTGTAGGTCGGAGTAACAATAGGGTAGCCCATATGGTGGCTAGAAAGACCCTTTCTTTGTACCCGACTATGAGTCGGCGCTTTGATTTTCGAACTTGGCTTACTACCAGGATGTAACTATCAATTTATCAATATATGATTATCTTTTGTCAAAAAAAAAAAAAAAAGGTTCACTCATATCGATTGAAGAAGCTCTAACAACCTAATCAGATTCTATCTATCTCAGGTTGCAGCAGAAATCAAAAGAAGTTGATCAAGATTCAATTGACTCAATAAACACACTTCAATCGATTAAAACCAATCTGCATATCAATCCAAAAGTCATTACAACTCTAATCCCTAGCACATGAAACTAGGGTTCTTCATACCCAAGTGAGAGAAAGGTCTACTCCATAGAGAGAGAGAGAGAGGAAAACAAAAATCAAAGCAGTCATACTCATAAAGATGGGAATATATCTGCTCTGGAATGTCAATCTTCACTCCTGGGAATGCAATCTGGGGTTCAATGGTGAGAAATCCACTCCAACATAGCTCCTAGGGTTTGTTCTTCGCACTTTCTCTCTCTAGAACTCTGTTTTTTTGCTTCAAAAAGTCGACCTTCTAAAAATATGAGCTCCTCTCCAATAAAACCCACACAGGTGCAAAAACACGGCCTCTAAGCCATAAAATCCGGACGTGTTTTAATCAGAAGAGGTCGTGTTTCGAAATGACAATTCTGTGTAGTGCAGAGGAAAAACCTAACATCTGACACAAGGCCATGTTTTTCAGAGGGTGTGTTTCTCAGCAACCCTTATGCCCGGTTTTTGTGATCTACCTTCTTTCACCTCCAAATGTCCCGAAACTCGTCCCCAAGCCATGTCTACCTGAAATATGACATAAGAACACAACCTAGCATAAAATAGGCCAATGAACGATCAATCGCTAAGCTAAACGATCAAGAAATGAAGGAAAAAACTTGTGTGAATGCGATGTTATCAATACTACGTCGCCTAACTGGGTTATACTTAGCATAGTTAGGTAGGCTAGTAGAATATAGTGCATCGATTTTATTACTCGTGTGTGAACCATTAGGATCACACCAAGTTTTTGTTGCAATTGTTAGGTATTGTTGGGTTATAGTGAAAAAGGCTATAGTTACTAACTGTTTACTTTCTTGCACTTTGTTTTTGTTGTTAGTTTGCATTTTTATTTTCCTTGTTGCATTCACAGTTGTTTCCAATTGTAATGGCATGTAAGAATGGAATGAGTGGTTGCGATGGACAAGAGCCATCATGCATGTGGAAGGACAATGAGTTATTACTCTCAACTAAAATTCAAGGAATTCCAATCTCCAATCAAACATTGAGAGAATCTCACGTTTAAAGTTAACTCGAGTGTAATAACCATGATCTAATCAAGAATTCAATCCATGTTTTGGAAGACGAGAGTCCACACATTCATATTCAAGATTTTCTTAACCTCACTGATGTAATCAAGCTGATTGGAATTCCTTAAGAATTCATCTTTCTACGGCTTTTCTTATTATCTCTTAATGAGGAAGCTAAAGATTGGTTCAAGAATTAGTGACACTCTCTATCAGCTCTTGGAAGGATCTTTATGAGAAGTTTGTCGACCATTACTCTCCCCCCATCTAAAGGTTCTCAACTCCAAAGAGAGATCTTAACTTTTAAACAAGAAGCTATAGAATTGTTTCATGAAGATTGTGAGCGATACAACTTTCTCTTTCTTAAATGTGGCTTCAATTGGATTGCTTCTACAATGGATTGAGTAGTGAATGCAGATAACTCATCGATATAACTACTGGTGGAACTATAAGGAACAAAGAGTTGGAACAAGTTTGTGAAATCTTTGATCAAGTGGTGGTAAGTGGAAGAGGTTGGGAAGATTATAGAGGGACCAAGGTATATATATAGCAAGGATAAGGTACTTACCACAACTAACCTTGTTCCTCTCTTAGAAATGGTCTCTCTTGCCACCAAGATTGAAGGGTTAACTTGTGGATTCCATGGCAATGGAGGTGTTCATTTTCCATCAAGGATGAAGCAAGTCTTTGCTTTTGGTAATTTGGGAGCACGGGTTTCCAGTTCACCTCTACAACATAGTCCAACTTATTGTCTTCATTGTATGAACAACTCTACTTTACATATCAAAGATTAAAGAACGGATTTCATAGGTTTGAGGAAACGGCTGGACAATGGATAGCTGCAAGCCACAAGAAATTTGATAGTCTATATAAATTTCATGAAGCATATCGCTCAACACATCCAATTTCTAAAAATGGTTGGACATCCAGCACTACCACATCCGACGAGCACACCACTGAGGGTGGTCGCTGCATCAACTGTTATTGTAATTACTAAACTTGACAAAAGGTGGCAAGAATGTAAGAGGATTTGTCCTGCTTCGTGAAAATTTGTAAGGAAGGAAGAGGAGCTAACCGTAGCTCCAATGGCCACAATATTCCCCCAACCGCAACTGTTGTCGATCTCATCGCGTGGAAGAAAATCATGACAATCATGGCAGACATTCGACATGGAAAGTTGTCAACAAGAATATACACATATATAATTATTTGAAGGAAGGCGATATCAATACAAGCCACTATATAAGAAATCGTCTCAAGACGAGGAAGTTCTTCTATTGGAGAAAGAAGTTGAAGAAACGACGAAATGCTACTGTCGATACTATAGTTACTCACGAGCCTAGATTCAATCAGGAAAGCAGCTCCATCCTGAAAGGTTTGTCGAAACAACATTTGCCAAGAGCTTCAAACACTTATTGTTAATATTGTCACTGAAACTTTTGATGTTGTCTTCTCGCCTCTTGCCGCTCGTGCTCTAGGAGCTGCGTGAGTGATGACCAAGACAATGAAGTGGAGAGTTGAAGCAGCCACCAATGCTAGGTAATTCATTTAAGTACCCAAGCGCAATTGGAAATATCAAAAGCACGTGCGTGGTCGTCAAACCCTTGTTGGCGTCTACAATCAACCAAGGTTGAAGCATGTGTGCTCATCCCGCAAACCTTGGTGACAAGAAGGAGGAGCGAATAATGTTCTGAGATTACAATTCAAAGTATTAGGCTAGCGTATATTTTAATTATTCGTGTCTAGTTATTTTTTGGAATTGTTCAAGTTACTTTATTATCATATTTGTTCTATTATGAATAGGGTTCATGGTATTATTATTAGAACCCAATTTATATTTCTTTTTCTTTTGTTATTTCTTCGTTCAATTAGTAGTTTCGTAGCTATTTTGAGTTGTTCTCGCCATTAAAGATATCCTTTACTCAAGAATTTCGAGAAAACTATCCTAAAATCCATGGATAAAAAAATCAGTACGTAGAAATCGGTCCCGAAGGCGCATCTAGCATCTATGTAATAACAGTAGTCGAATCCTAATGCTGGGCTAATCTTGCATTAAGTGAGTGGATACTCTGTATCTTTTGTTTCTGGTGGAAGTGGATACTGCAGTGCGTTGTACATATGCTTAGAGCAACGATCAATGGGTAAAAGAAATTATATTTAGTTTAAAACATATAATCAGTGAGTGAATCAATAAAAGAGGAAGAGGTTGATCTCAGGTCCGTCTTTGTTGTTTTCTTTTCTCTGTTATTCATAATCTTCAGGAGAGGCAAAAGGGTACTTGAGGTAATCGTTCTTGATTTGGGAAGGATTTTCAGGTTTAGACCAAGGGTACTTCATTGATGGATCTCTTGGGAACTTCCTGAAGTTGAGAAATGGCGCCCATAACATTACCCTGCAATCACACATAATAAGTGTCCACACAAAGCAACTAATCAATCACTTAGAGGAAGACAAACTCACCCTGGGAAGAAGAGGAAGACAAACATGAACTGCAGATACATTTCCAGCAGTTTTCTTCTGTACCACCTTATCCTCAGCCAGTTCATTATGACAGGCTGTGGTTTTCCCACACCAACACCATATATAACAAATTAATTAATTGTTAACTGTTATTACATGAAACTAAACCTGACTAGTATGCATTAATTACTTGAAAGAGTCAATTGATTAAAATTAACTGGACTCACAGGCATGATAATGAAGTACCAAAAGGCAACAATGGCTACTTGGATCAAAGTCCAGGTAAGATCTTCCTCATTATTCACCCCTGTAACTGCATATGCCGCTCCTGGCTGCACAAGCTAAAACAACAAAACGGTAATTTCATCAATCAAACTCAGATTAAAAGGAAGACGGAAAAAAAAAAGCGCTGTTAATTGAAGTTGTTTTTCTTTTGGTCCTCTCACAATGGCCACAAGTGCCCCAAGTTGAATGGACAAGTTGCTGCTGCTGCTGCTGTTGAAGAAGCCCTCATCATTAGCCTTTGAGATATGCAGAATTCTGCTGCTGCTGCATATTGTTTGCTGCTTCTTGTTGTGGCTATGTTGCTTGGTAATGTGATGAGCTGATGGTGCAACATGGAAACTAGAAAGGAACTTTGGCGATGTAAATGTGCTCTTGATAATAACGCTATTCCTGGCGTGATGGGGAGAAAAGCAAGGCAAAGAAGCCTGAGGGATGAGACTCAAAGAATACTGCCTCATCATTTTCTTTCTTCCTTTCTTTTGGAGTTCTATTTTTCTTTCTTCTTCCCGTTCCTAACAGCCAATTTTGCTTTCTCATTTTTTCTTTCTTTTTTTTCTGTTGTCGTCCACTGCTGCTTTGAATTGTGGCCATAGGATTTCTGAGTTTTTATCCACATTGTACGCTGTCTCTACTTGCATGATAATAAAGCAAGAGGTCAGGCGCTGTTGATTTATTAATTAATAGCATCCAAATGGCCTCTTATCCAAATTAACCCACACAGATTTTGCATTCCAAAAGTAAACAAAACCTCGTACAAAAGATCTTGAAATTTGTTGATGATCTTTTGATCTTTACGGATAGCTCAATCAAAAGTAATATTAGAGAAAAGAGTCGTTTTGATGAGTTTTGTAAGATAACGAGTTTGACATGTAAACCTACTAAATTTGACATGTAGAGCCCTTAAGCATTGCAATAGTGATGAAGGATTGCCTCTCATTGCTCTGAAGTTTTATCGGAATGTTAGATGTTAATTGTAAAGTTAATGAAAAATCCAATCTTGGAAGGCTAAAAATTTGTTCTATGTATGGAGAATTTAACTTGTTTCCTTAGTTCTTGTTGCGTGAGCCAAGTTTTTAATTTATATTTAATTCTCATAATAAACTCATTCACCTAGCAAGGGCAAGCAGGTAAATGCGGCTCAAGATAGGGTGCATAACCATGGGTTATGCACCCATCAATAACCAAATCTGGATCATTCATTTAGAAAATCCAGATCTAAGGATGGAGAATTAAAGACTATTTTTATTTTCACTAGCTTTCTTAATTGACTCATATCTTTTTGGTTTTAATTCGGATTTCAATTTTTTTTGCACAGATGGAACGAGTTCACCGTGCTCTACAAAATGAGATTAATTTTCAATATTTTTTTAGGAAAAAAAAATTCTGGCCTCTCGGTACCAACTGCATACCATATGGTATCTTCTTCGTTTTTAATTCGTTTTTGAAAACGTTTGCACAGCAAGGATGAGTTCATCATGATCTACTGGATCTACAAATTTCTGGGTGAACAAATTACAGGACCAAAAAATACCACACAATACCATACAATACCACCCTGGTACGGGGTGGTATTGTATGGTATCTTCTTCGTTTTTAATTCGTTTTTGAAAAAGTTTGCACAGAAGGGACGAGTTCATCATGATCTATTGGATCTACAAATTTCTGGGTGAACAAATTACAGGACCAAAAAATACCACACAATACCATACAATACCACCCTGGTACGGGGTGGTATTGTGTGGTATACAATGTTAAAAGTCGTAAATTACAATTAATATACTTCTACTATCATGTATTCAACCATCCTACAGTATTGGTTTGTTCATATCACCATGGTACGTTTTTCAAAACATAGGTATGCTTTTATTTCAATACCTGTCAATACCATATGGTATAGGCTGGTAAAAAATGGCTCAATTTTTTTTGTTCGAAAAATATATTAAAGTGGATATCATTTGGAAGAGCACAATTAATCTAATCTAACTGTGCAAAAAAAATTAAATTTCGACTTAAAATGAGCGAGAAATCGTCCGTCAAAGATTAAAAAGGGAAAAATTAAAGGTTTTCCTATGAGAGAGAGGATGCTGATGTCATGCTGATGTGGATGGGTTACTCATGGTTACTCACCATAAGGTTACTGACCTGATCCATTCCCAGGTAAATGCTAGATGATTCAGACTTAATTAGGGTAATGTCTATTTTTTATCCAAATATTTTTCAGATTCATTTATTTTATCCAAACCTATCGAAATATCATCAATTATCCAACGGTTACTCCACTGCTAACTGTTCCGTTACATTTGTTGACTCAGCAGCACCAGTCTGAGTTGGAAGCCCACGGGGTAGTCAGGACAATTTCTATTTTTAATTAAAATGAAACTTAAAAAAGAAATCAATCAATCAAATATTAACAGTAACAGAATGAATGCTCACACTTTGATCAGTTACAATACGTTTGGTTAATAAATAGTATTCCAATAGGTTTGGATAAAATAAAAGAATATGGAAAAGGTTTGGGTAATAAATAGACATTACCCACTTAATTATACATGTTTACATCCTCTATCATTGATCGTCTGGTTTGATATTTGTCATTCTTTAGTCAGTTTCACGCTAGGTTGTGCTTGGTAGTATATTTCAGAATTCATATCCTAACAGGTGAATATGACCGAGGGATGAGTTTCGAGACAAATGGAGTCTAAGATGGCATTGGAAGAAGTAAGGTAGAGGAGGACATGGCCGCGTTCTAGCCCATGTTCAGCCACACAACCAAGGACAAGGTCATGTTCCCAAACATGTCCACAAATGTGATGATTTTGCTTCTGGGGACACGACCGTGTTACAACCCCGTGTTAAGTGCTGAGAAGTAGGAGCATATCCTTGAGTTGCGGCAAAAACTGCGACTTATATATCACAACCGTGACTTATGCATCATAGTCGTGATATTTCTCCAAGAACGACGAGCATTGATGAACACGACCTCCTAAAACGAACGTGTTTCGGGGCCGTGTTCGAGCTGCCTCTGCAGAATGTAAAGATGCTACTGCGTGTTTTGAGAGAGGAGAGTTGGATTTTTTACCAAAATCACCCAAGGGGATTTTTTTTTTTATCTAGGAGGATTCTTGGAGCTTTTATCTAGAGAGTTGAAGATCATGAGCTTTATATTGTATTCTCTCTCCTTTCTATGGAATACTTCTCCTTCAGTTAGGTTTTGATGAACCCTAGGCATGATTAGCTTGAGTGGATGATTGAAAGAGTAAATCCATCTTGATATTCTTTTCATATCCAATCTATGAATATTTTGATGTTTAATTCTTCTTTGATCAAGATTGATTTTTCTATTGACCTATGAAAGAGAAAATCTAATTGGGCCAATTAGAGCACCATGGATTGAGAGCAAGGGGTTGATAACACGAGTGTGAATTGGGTCTTTGCTTTGATTGTGTGGGAACCTCACCCAATAGAGGGGGGCTGCTGCCGAATGCCTTGATCGGTTGTTTTAGAGAAGGTTACGATCCTCTAACCAACCGACTCTAGGGGGTCTTGATTGCTCTAATAGAGATTCAAGGTCTTGTCAAGAATCCTCCTCATTATGAATGAGGAATGGACCGAGTTAGAGGATCGTCAATCATTGATCCGGTTACTGGCTAGGGGGAATCAATGCCTAAGTGATCTCCCAACTTGTAGTTAGAGTAGTTTAGTTTCTTAATCTCAAATCTTTTGTGGCTAAATAACAAAGCAAAGCGAAGTAATGGTATAGATACAGACCCTAGGCTTTTATAATTTTATTACTTTACTTCCACTATACTACGTTTGATTGTTGGTTATACTTGGCCTTCGATTGAGAGAGTAGTTTAGAGCGAGTCAAATTTTTATTGTCGCTGTCGAGAAACGTCTAGGTTATCGGGAAAGGCTTAGGTTTGTTAATTTAGGCATTTTTGCTTTACTTTATTTCCACCCTTGCATTTCAAAGTGCTTTTGTTTTTGTAGGTCGAATCAAGGATCGCAATGGCTTCTCCAACATGTGGAGGGTATCCATCAACACCCTAATGGCGTTACATCGAAGCTCATGGGACAACCAAGATGGTGGAAGGCAAGGATTAGGGTTCTTTTACTAATCTTCCTTCCATGAAGAACAACCATACCCATTGGGATTTCAAGAAGTTCCCCACGCCGAAAAGATTGCCTTCCACAACTCGAAGTGAAATCTGAGTTGGAGTTAGCTATATAGACCTACATGGGACATTCATAAAGACCATGTAATACTACAAAACCATATACCAAGAGCTCATTGGAGTTTTCCACAGATAACTTTGAAAGGGCATGCTCTAATGTGGCTTACCAATCCCTCCCTCCCGATTTGAAACTAGAAGAGAAAGTTGAGCAAGCTTGTGCACGCTTTATTCTTTTACCATTTTGAAGAGGAAGAGGAGGTTGAATAGGATATAAATGATGACTAGGTGGATTGACTCGCTTTTACTAACACTCTAGTCAGTGGCCAAGTGCAATCACATATCAGGAGTAGTATAGTGGAATTAAGTCTTAAAAGTCAATCCAGGGCCCTAGATGTACTATTACTCAGCAAATTATATGTTATCTAGCAAACAAGTTATTGTGTTGATTACTAAAAATTTAAGTAACAAAGCAGGTAAATTGATTCAAATTCAGATGCGAGAAGATCACACCGGGTATGTTTCCCCCTATTTCATAGTTAGGCTGATGTTATTTACTCCCTAGTATATTTCATTTTATACTTTTACCACTGAGAACCCGGAATCAGTTTAGAATCTCAATCAAAGTAGATTAAACCCGCGTGAATAAACTACCCAGAGGGAGATTATCCTCAACCGGAATAGAATAGACTCCCTATACTGGAATGAAACTCGGTAAAGAGTAGTGAATCGATTGACTATTCGCACAAAAGATTCACTACCACTAATCAAAGGCAATCTATCTGATGAGATATCAACTAGCACGATATTCTATTCCCGTGGTCCAAAAATGAAGATTCGAGTTCAACGATATATGAATCAATTAGGAGCGTTTAAGATGGACAAAATAGAATCATGGCGTGCATGAGTTAGCTTGGGACGTGTGGCTTTGTCCTCAACTCTTGGTGGAATCAAAATGGCCTAGGTTGATTTATTGGATGGTCAATTAAAGAATTGGATGGCATGGCTGGGTTCACTCACGTGAATGATGGATGCTTGTGGAAGAATTTGCATTGGGTTAAATTGTATTTAAATTGAAGTTTGCGTGGTCATTATTTGGGTGGTTTTGGAGTTGGTGGTTGGATGAGATTAAATCTCACGTGAAGGAAAGAAGGTTCCGCAGCAGGTATGAAAACGGAATTTCTATTCCGCAAATGAAAAGGAACCCAGCTGAAGCGTGCGGTGCTACTTGGAATTTATTAGTTTAATTAGTAGTATTTTGTTTCCTAGTTAGTTTGGGATTTGTTTTCCTATTCCTTTTAGGTTAGATTTATGATTTTGAGACCTCTATAAATAGAGGGTGTAAGACCTACGAATTTTGAACCCAATACCCAACATTCAAGTTATCAATTAAGATT